CCCCCCAAAACCCCAAAACCCCAACCACACAGGGAATAAGTAAATTGATATAATTCTAATAAAATAATATTTGATTTATTAAGTTAATTAAATGACAAATACTTTGAGTGGTCGTAGCTCAGCAGGCTTGATAGTTGTTTGGTCAATGGCTGGTTTCTCAATAATCTAGATTATTTGGATATTGACTTTTAGCATCAGAGACATTATCAAGAGCACTCAGCTTTCTTATGTACTAAAGGATCGGTTTACTGTTTACTATGTGGTTTATATACTGATTGGACTAAGCTTTAAAGTGCTAGTTTTGGATTCATATTACAAAGACTATCTCGATTCGAGAAAAGCTTGTTCTAATTTTGTGTCTGAATACATCCCTCATGTTTTTGTGATTCTCACTGTTGCAGTAGCTATGTTTAAAATCTAGATACTTTCTAGAGTCTCCTGGGACACTTTAGAATCGTATAAAAAGTTCTAAAAGTACAGAGTGAACAAAAGTTTGCTTATTTTCAGAGTGATTCAAGTGATATACATTTTGTTTTTGATTTTAAGGGCAGTAAACACCTGCAGTGACTAAAAGTACTAAATGAATTTCATGGATTTCGACTCATACATTCAATATAGCATTTTCACGATTTTTAAGCTATTCTTCTACACTCTTATTCTGATTTCTCTCATTAAGATTACAAGAAGCCCTAACGCTCAAGAATATAAAAAGCTCTTGTACTTCTTTATTGTATCTATATCCTTGATTGCACTGGCCAAGCTTGTCTGTGTGATTCTGCTGTTGAATAAAACTCTAGAGCCAAGTGGTGTACCATTTGAAGCAGTATTTTTTGCTGACCACCTGATGATTATTGTGCTTACAATTCTAATGATTAAGTCTAGATATATTGAGCTGAATATATTGTTAAGATTGGGTGTATTCAAGAATGTAGATGAAATGACTGATAAAGAAATGTTCTTTGAATACGATAAGATGCGTAAGTAGAGTTATGTTATGAAAAGAAGATATCCCTATCTTATTTAGCAAAATAGACAAAACAGAGTCTCCATCAATGATAACGAAAACAATCATGCATGATTATAAGCAAGCATAATCTATAATTCTAATCGAATATAAATCTATAGTATATCTTAATTCTAAAATAAATAACAATTGCTAATTTTGGGGTTTTGGGGTTTTGGGG